AACCATTGTCAATTGTTGAAAAAGCCCATTTGATTCACAAACATCCTTTAGAAGAAGAAATCTATTATCCTTGCCTGGTCTATCTTACATGTGACTCCAGATAATAATAAATATGGTTGCTTTTTAACTGCCCTCTCAAGCGGCCCCAGCCAAGCCACTCAGTTCAAAGGACGATTAATGGTGGGCAATAAACTAGCCAGGATTCTCTCTCTTGACATCTATTTAACTATTTAACTACATTGAAAATCTGCATTATGGATGCAGTGTGGGGCAAGTTGGAGATTGTGGTCCTGTGACACAATCAAAATTTTCTTCAACCCTCTCCTCCAAACATACAAATGTGAAAAGTGGCCACTTGGACAAAGTACCAATGGACTATTGTACTCTAGCAAGGAGTCAATACAATCACAAAGGAAAAAGAGCTGAGATGAACAGAGATGAACGAAAGCAACATTAAACCATAATTGAATGTAATTATAGGTATTTAACGTTTTAGCAATCAAAGACGGCTTGCATCCTGTAACAGGGACTTGCAATCAGATCTCCACCTAGGAATCAGATCTAATGTGAACGCAAGTCAGTGCTCACAAAAAGCACCACGTTATTCCATCAACAGCCTCCCCTTGCTCTCTACTACTTTCTCTTATTGCTTTCCTTCAATTCAAATTCTCACATCTCTATTGTATTCAATAAAAACCGAAAGAACTGCGGATGCTGTAAATCAGGAACAAAAACAAAGTTGCTGGAAAAGCTCAGTAGGTCTGGCAGCATCAGTGAAGGAAAAAACAGAGTTACCGTTTCGGGTCCAGTGACCCTTCCTCAGAAATCCCCAGTTCTGAGAAAGGGTCACCGCACCTGAAACATTAACTCTGTTTTTTCCTTCACAGATGCTGCCAGACCTGCTGAGCTTTTCCAGCAACTTTGTTTTTATTCTATTGCATTCAAACCTTACTTCCAAAAGCTACCCCACCTGCTCAATGATTTTTCCATCCTCAATGTCATACCGAATGACGACAAGATGAGAGCCAGCAACCATCCCCACTAAATACACTGCGCCACTTCCTGACGAGTACAGGAGCTGATATTGGATCTTTTCACTGAAAGTTTAAACACACAGAGATACATTATACAACCATCCACACAATCAATGGTTCTGCCCATCCTTAAACGTACAAGTACGAATTTTAATGTGAAATCCACTACCACTTCACAACAAAAAGCTGTTTAGAAACCTTCAATTCCCACAGATTCTTTTGGCTAGGTTTAGCAATGAAGGCATCAAGGGAGGCAAGTTATGTTTCAAGTCGCAAGGAGAGCAATCAAATGACATTTTCCTTACTCTAATACAGACAACAGCTACCCTTACCAGGGAGCGCTGATTCAAAAGCAGTGCATAGCACAGAAGCTAGGGCACAAACATTAAAATAAAACTATTTTACACTGGTTCATTTCAAATTGGGGTTAGATAGCAAGTATAGATTCTGGGGACATCTCACCTATAAAGCAGGAAGTGTAAAATCTTGAATCACAGTTCAAGGCTACTTGTGACTCTGCATCAGCGAAAATACCAGTTGTTGGGAAATGCACACATCATGAGCATGGGTGAAGCAGTGGTCTTCTACAAAGCTTTGTCAGTAACCTTGTCTCTCCAAGATTTAGTAAATATTATGTAAAGCCTGATTATATCATGCATAAAATAGCCAAACATTACATCAGACGTCAGTTCAAAAGCAATCTCTTTACCTTTCTGGTAAAGCTTCACTCCATTTCTGATGACCATTCGAGAGATAATGGAGGGAAATGGACGCTTTCTTCAGAATGGCAATGTACTTCACTCCTTCAGCAAAGCCAATAAGAGAACCTGTCTGCAAACTGAAACAAACTTTTTAAAAATCAGACAAGCAGTAATAGTCACATCTATAATCCCTCCAACACACATCAATGGCATGTGATAAGAGTGGAAGAGACTCCTGGTTAGCCATGTGATGAAAATGTTGGAGCCTCTCCCATCGCCATCCAACATCCAAACTTAGGATCCAAATGAACTGTAAGAGTACCATTGCCAAATCTTCCCAGGGGAAAAAAAAACTCTCTCTTTAATAAAATTCAATCATAATTCACCATTGTGTTAGACGTAAATTGCTAATGTTCCGCTAAATAGATTCCAACCAATTTCAATTCTTTTTTAAAGAGTAGTTTAATTTTGATGCAATGAATTAATTTAGTTTGAAGGTCACCAAACTAATTTTAGCCATCAATCTTTCCCAGCCTTGCAGTAAATATGATTGCCAAAGCAAAATTAATGTTTCTTGCCCTAATGTTTCTGCTGCAGGTTTAATCAGTAAACAAGGAATAATCAGTGGTTAGTCTGAAAGGTTACCAATCAGAATCCTCCAAACGATCTGGCACTTCATAGGAGCAATATAGAAGCAGATTTTTTTTGCCCTTGACTCCAGTTTCTCCCCCCCACAATAGAACATAGTGGCTCAGTAATAAAGGTCTTCTCCTGGTTAAATAATCAGCCACAGTTCCAGCAGACAATATTGCCACAAGGGTATCATTGGCAAGGCTGATACAACCCTGACACTTTTTTCACATACAAAGATTCCAACAAGATTCATTGAATAGTGATAAGGTATTGATTCGACTCACTGTCCTCTTCATCTATCCTGAGCCATTCAGGCTGCCTGAGTAGGGACAGAACTCAGCCCTTCCTGCTCTGTTTTTCTGCTCTGTTAAAGCATCTCCATAAATGATGGTTTAAATCAATATTTCAGCAGATCAAGGACTTGGGCAATATTCAATATTAAACTTCTCTTATTATGGTAGCACTTAGCTAGAATCCATTGCATAATTACTATAATGTATAACTGAAGCGATAACAATGAAAACGTAAGAAACAATGTGACCTCAAGCTGCAAGAAAATCCCTCATTGAGATTTTGTTCCTGTAATTACGCTCATCCATTCTTTGGTGTCAATGCTCTAACAGCCACAGAGTTCTCACCTTCCAGTCTCAAGCAAGATCTCCCAGTTCAAGCCACCAATGTTTGTATCCCATGAGCGCAACAATCGCCCTCCTCCTGACACAGTCAGTGCATCTATGAAAAAGCAAAATCACTAAATCTTGTTGAACCCACAAAAATCTCTAATTTGAATTCACAAAACAGTTAAGATTTGGTGTAATGCTATAAAAGAAATTAGCCAACTCTTACTTTTGAGAGTGATCCTACTTTTACTACTTTTAAACCCATGTTAATCCCATTCACTACTTTTTTGTCAATCATCAGTTTTCCATCTTCCTCAGTTGAAGGCAATAGCATCAAATTAATGATGTAATTGCAGATACAATTAATTCTGTACAAAGTTGAATAACATTATGTCGTAATCTGCTTCCATGGATGTATTAAAACTAGCAGGTTCAAAGATTATCAAGCCAGGGAAAGGACAGTGAATTGATCGTGAGCTTTACACTTTGGATGAAATAATAATCTGCCAATCTAAACCAAGATTGTCTGCAGATCCTAGAGAAAGCTATATGTACAGCACAAATTTGATAGAATTGAATGAACTACACCCACCCTGTCCATGGAACAACATCAGATCCACATTCCCCTCAGGACCTTCTTTATCCACCTGACGCCAGACTGCAAATCAAAACAAAAACAACAATGTTGAGGTTAGTGACAGTTCATAATCTACCCACAGCAGAATTGTTTACTACAATGTCAACTGAACAACACTCACTGATCTCCCCATTTCTTAAGTTGAGAGAAGCAATCACGTTATTCTCTGTAGTAACCATGAGTTTCCTTGCATTCTGTGTAGGTGTATCAAAGTATGCAAACCGAGGCTTTCCAACATATTGACGTCGCCTTTAAAAGTTAAAATAGAAGTAATGTAGCAGCATACATCTGACTATTGCAGATAGTAACAATAACAGCATTAATTCAAAGAATGTCAAAATAGAAAAATAATATTCAAACCACCACACCTGTGCCATCTCTTTGAAACCAGCAATCCAATTAGTCACTGTCCTACTCTTTCCCCGTAGACCTTAAATTTTGAAGATTATTTATTCAATTCCATTTTGAAAGTTACTGATGAAGGTTCTTCCAGCACTTTTTCATGCTGAACATTTTAGGTGATAATTCACTGTTTTAAAAATGTCAGTTACTGTACCTTAAATGCGTGTATTGTGTTTATCAACCTTCCTATTAGTAATAACCAGTTGCACGTAGTTACTCTTTAGATCGCTCTGTTCCAGCACACTCTTAAAGTTGTACAATTTGACTTATGTTGCCTCTCTGTATTCCTCTTTTCCAAATTAAGACTGAACTCAAACTTTATCGAATTCCAGTCAATTGATAGGATTTTCAATGAATTTGCATTAGTCATGGATTCCGCCTTTTCCTCAACAGGGCAGTATTGGAGGGAGGCAGCAGCACAGGCCGTCTGTTTCCGCCCCCACTCCAAGTACTTGGAACAAACAAAACTTGTCGCTCCCCCCGCCCCTCAGGCCATTCCAAAACCCAGTTTCCAAGGGGAAGGGCAAGCTTCGGCCCCAGGATAACAACCACAACATTCTCATTTATAACACAACCCTCCAAGGAGCAGTGGCTTCTCCTCCTAAGGACTCACCAGTCGAACTTCCCGACTTGATCCTCGTAAATCGCCGCTGAAAACTCAAAGAGAGCGAAAAGAAGCCAAATCTCAGAGAGGACCACCATCACTGCTCGGTCCTCCAATGTCCCAGAATGTACAGAGAGAACGGTCCTCCAAAATCCCAGCATGCTCGCAAAAGTTTGGTCCTCCAACATCCCAGAAAACGCGATATCCCGCACAGCAAACTTTTATGTGCGGACCCGGTTGTGCAGCTTTAGGCACTATTCAGAAGTTGTTTTACTAGGCTGAATCAATAAATCTGACTTGTTATATCTTATCTGATGTCTCGGAGTTGTTTTTATTCCACGTAAATATACAGGCGGAGTGAAGGCGCCATTAGTCCCATAACACCCCGGGTAAGAGGGTCCTGAACGTTCAGCGTGAGAGTGTGTGGTGACCGCACGTTTTGTTACTCGGAGCTGGGAGAAAGGGAGACCTAGCCCCTCACCGGGAGAGAGGGAGAGCCAGCGACCCGGTCCTGAAACCATGCCGCGATCACGGCGAGATAAGCGGGGTAGGGGCTCAAGTCTGTCCTGGGCTGACTTATTAAATTTGGCAGATTCTGAAGTCCGTGATTCTCCACAAATCTGGACATAGAACCTACATTAGGTTCAGTCTGAATGGTTCGATAATCTCATTCCTTCTTGTATTATTTCTGCAGTTTCTTTGACTAAAACAACGAAGAAAGGATTACAAGTCAAACAGAACCTGATCGAGGAGGTGAGTCAACAGTCATACTGTCGATTCAGACTGGCCTCCAATCCACTCCAATCCATCCCGTTCTCTGCTACCATCCCTCTGTCATAAGCCTGATCTTCTGTGAGGAGTCTTTTTCCCACCACACCTGGTCCTCGAAAACCTTAAAAATAATTCCCAACTGTTTAGTCTTTGGCCCACGGTCCACCAAAACGTCGATATGTCGTCGATTTGCTCAAGAACGCTTCACCATCTTTTTATTTATCTCCAGTAAAACCCTCTCTTGTCCCTTGTCCTGGAACAACTCATTCTTGTCACAGTGTGGAGCTGAAGGAGCATAGAGGGCAGGCAGCATCAGAGGAGCAGGAAAGTTGACATTTCGGGTCGGGACCCTTCTTCAGAAACCCCATTTCTGAAGAAGGATCCCGACCCGAAACGTCAACTTTCCTGCTCTTCTGCTGCCTGGCCTGCTGTGCTCCTCCAGCTCCACACTGCGTTATCTCTGATTCCAGCATCGGCAGTTCTTACTATCTCATTCTTGTTCTCTACAGATGCAAGCCATTGGCAAGATCGGGTTGGATTCTAACAAAATAATCCTTGGCTTGTCGATTTCTGATTATCTCTTTGAATCCCTCTATCCCATTTTCCTTGGCTCGTCTATTCTTCTCCTCTAAGCATGAGGAGACTATGAACTGCAGACACTAACATTTGACCTCTGCTAATCCCTTTTCTGACTGAGTTAAGATTTTCCTTATCCCTGTTCTTGCTGAAAACCAGTCTTTGTTTCCTGTCCATTTTCACTGACTTTGTCAAACCCATTAAAAACAGTTACTGCCCTTTGTTAGCCTGTCTACTGAATAGACACCTGTGTCTATTCCAATGCTTCTACGGTCATTGGAAACTTGCACTTCATTACCATTTTTTTGAATTACTCCAAATCCCACTTACCCATCATCAATATATGTGCTAACCTACAGTGGACCCTGGTTCAGCAATACCTGAAACTGTTAATACTCATCCTCGTGTTCAAATTTCTCCATGGCTCACTGCTCCCTATCTCTGTAACCTTTGTCCCAATGTTACTGGTCATGCACTTGACTGTTATGTTCCAAAGGTAAACGTCTGTAATTCTTTAAAGGCACCCTGTGAAACCTAGCTTTGTCCAATCTTTAGTCACCTGCTCTGATATCCTTTTGTGAGACTAATAGCCATGTATCTAATGCTGTGTGGTAGTCACATGAAATGTGTTTGGATATTTTCTTATAGTCAGGGAATTATAGAGTTATACAGCACAAAAACAGACCCTTCAGTACAACTTATCTGTGCTGACCAGATATCCTAAAATAATCTAGTCCCATTTGCTAGCATTTGGCCCATACTACTCTTAAACCCTTCCTATCCAGATGCCTTTTAAATGATGTAATTGTGCCACTTCCTCCACCCCTCTGGCAGCTTGTTCCATACATGTTTCACCCTCTGCATGAAAATGTTGCCCCCCAGGTCCCTTTTAAATCTTTCCCCTCTCACCTTAAACCTATGCCCTCTAGTTCTGGACTCCCCTACCCTGGGAAAAAGACCTTGATTGTTCACCCTATCCATGACCCCATGATTCTATAAACCTCTATAAGGTCATCTCTCAGCCACTGACGCTCCAGGGGAAAAAGGCCACAACCTGTTCAGCCTCTCCTTAAGAGATGCATATACATGCAAGTAATTAAGGTTAATTAATTCTTCACTAAAATTAATAAAACATCTGGTGGAAAATTGATTAACTGTGCTGACAGTCTAGTTGAACCCTTATTGCTGGTGTTCAGTTGAATCTTGGTTTTTGTTTTAAAGTTACGAAAATGTGTGGACACCTACAAGAATCTATTTGTCTTTTCTGTTGAGAATATGCGAAATAACAAATTAAAGGATATGCGGAGTGCTTGGAAGCATAGCCGGTGAGTCATTGGCATGAAACCTCCTGCCCCAGAGACGTATTAACTGAAGTAGAATGGGTACTGAACATTCTTTTTTAGTTTCATTATGCAATTATGGAATCTAGGAACAAGAGGAGCCAATCATAATCTTGAGCTCATTTTGCTATTGCATTAGATTGTAGCTGATGTATGTCTTAACTTCACTTACCTTTCATGTTTTTTGATCCTTTGTGCACCTAGCAGTATACCATCTACAAGATGCACTGAAGAAACTCACAAAGACTCCCATATAACATTGTGGGTGTTTCCATAACAAATGAATGGCAACAGTTCAAGCTATTCATCACCACCTTCCCAAAGGCAATTAGGGATAGGCAATAAACTCTGGCCCAGCCAGTGAAGCCCATAATCCATGAATGAATGGGGGGAAAAAAATGCAAGTAGTTAAGCAGGTGATTGAGGTTAATTGATAGATTGACTGGATGGATGTAAACATGAGTAATAGGTAGAACTGCTGTCTGTAATGAAATATAAGATTGAGTAGTTAATAAACTCTCTTCACAAAGAAAGGTTCTTTGTTTTGATCTGAAGTGATATTTAGCTGAAGTTTGTTGCCTAAAAGTGAAGATGGGAAACTAATTTCTTTTTGGACAGAAAATTATAGCTGGAGTTATATTTGAGAAGAATGACTGAAACCAAGTCTAAAGCATAAGGGTCTGGTTTCCCACCAATGTCATGTGAAGCTGAATTATATGGTTAATGGAAAAATTAAGTGAATATATGGACACACCTTCATCTTTATTTTTGAAAATAAAGGTCCTAGGTTTGCGAATTCCTACTAGAAATTGGATCAGATGTAAAGTATTTCTTAGAATTAGCAAATCAACAGTTGGACACTGAGGTAGGTTTTGAAATTCTATTAAAATTTATGGACACAATTTATAAGAAATATGATCTATTGAGTGTATCTGAGGCATGGTCAGCCTTTGATAAATTTAGAAAGGAGGTTTGATATTCTTAAAAAGAAACAAAATCTGATTTGACAGATGATACACAAGATTGTTAAAAAGAAAAGCTACTTGGGAATTCCTAATTCAGTGCTTGCCTTTTCAGTTGTTTTTCTTTATTCATTCACGGGATGAGGGCGTTGCTGG